ATATATTAATACCCACGTTCCATACAAAATCGGTAGCCGGGTAAGGCCGTCGTTTTTGCCACTTTTTTGATGAAAAAATATTCTCATATTTTCATTGCTTATAGAAAACAACATAGTGGGTAAATTGTAATGGAGGTATTTTAATTAGGTTATACATCTCTTAAACTCTTACAACATATTCTTAATATTAATATAAGTTGTACATTAAAAAAAATACAACGAGTTAAATTCGTCCAGACTCCCAAATTTAACGAAAAACATGCTGTCTTTTTAGCATTTAAACTATAAAACTTATATTTTTGTAATGAACGTTTAATTAATTTGTGACTATCTGAAATTTCTTAATAGTAAGCTACTACATCGTGCTTTTCATGTCTTTAATAACGCGTTTTTTTATAGATTTATTACTATTTAAACTTATGTTCCATATTTTTGCTTCTACGTTACTACTTTGTATGTTACCAAAATTTTCCCTTACAAAGCATTGAAAACAGTTTGATAGTGTTTTGTAATTGCACTGGCAACACTAAGTATTCAGGCAGCACAATTTAAAAAAAAGACGCCATCTTGTCGTGTCGGAAGTCTGTCAAAGGTGCACGCGTGTGTTTCGGCAGTGAATTTTAATTGTGAATTTTGGCGATTTCAAAGGTAAATAGCAGTTTTTATTGTTCACATATTATATATTATTATGCACGAGTAACTAATAAGTGCGTGGTAATGTGTCTATGTTTAAAATTCACCTTGATGTCGAGTTATGTCTATTTATAACCTTGAAAAATCGCACTTTAACGTTACTTCTATGTAGCTTTAATGTCACTGGTAACGTTGATTGTATGTTTCGTAACGTTTTACTGTTATAAAGGTTTGTGCATATTGTAATTTATTAAATATACTTTTTTGTAAAAAATGTCTACCTTTTTTTTAAGTTTTGATCATGTAGAGTAATGAAAAATCCACTCAGTAATTTTTTTATTTGATATACAGAGGGCATTTTTTTTATTTGGTTTCCAAGCAGTTACTAATTACCTACTTATACTTTTATTTATTGGTATAGATTGTTTTACGAAATTCAAAAAAACGCATAAGACAAGAGTAGTTTATTTGCCTTAATTAATTTGTGTCATTTAAGTAGTTTGGACATTCGTGGAAACTGAAAAAAGAAAGGTTTTTAAACCATATTTTTGTGTCACTAAGTGGAAAAATAAAATAAACTCAAAAAAAGTAAAAAACGACTTCAAAAAGAATAAAGTTTAATCTTTTGTGAAAAACAATTAAGGATGTATATCGTTTACCACGTATTTTTTTAAAGTTTGTTTTTACTTTTTTAATGTTTACTTCGATATTCGCGCGAACGGTCTTCTCTTTCTAGCAAAGGATGTCGATTAGCGTTAAAGATAGATACACATACGTACGTAGTGTGACCCTTAGTCAATGTATTAAACATGACTGTATGAATGAATTAGAGCCTTTAAACCATACTATCCCTTTACTTTTCTGATTAACAATAAAACAATATAAACATTGTCACAGATGCCGCCGATGACTGCAGCTGAAAAGCAGAAAAAATATCGCGATAAGTTGAAAAAAGAAAACCCTAAAAAGTATGAAGAAATACAAAAGAAGGCCAAAGAAAGACCTGCACGTTACTATGAGAAAAAAAGAGTACCTATACTGAAGAGCACAAACAAGAATTACGGAATAAATGGAAGGAAGATCGGAAAAAAGCAAAAGATGCAAAAATGGCATCACAAAATGAACCGGGTACGGCACATACTCAAATTCCAAGCAAGATAATAACCAATAACTTGCCGTAATATGCAACGCCGAATCGAATACAGACTGAAACAAGAAACTGCACAACTGAGATTACAGTTAAACACATTGACTAAAGGTTTCAAAAGTCTTCAGAAAAAAACGAATAGACAACAAAAGAAAATAGACAAGATGCAGGCAGATTACGAAAATTTATTAACTAGATTAATCACGACAGATGAAACAAAGGACACATATACGCGAGAATTAGAAGAGAAAACACCGAGGAAAGAAGTAACAGAGTTCATAAATAATAACATACCTAACATTGAAACTCCCAAAAAAGAAGAAGTTAAGAAGAAACTACTGGAACACGATGTACTAACGAAGTCACTAAAATTACAATTCCAAACTGCTAACAATAGCGAAAAGAATGTTTTGAGAAAAGTTTTGGATAACAACATTGTGAAAAAATATAAACTGAAAACAAGATTAAGAACCTCCCTGGGATTTAATAGTAATTTCAAAAACTACCGTCATCAGAAGACCAGAACCACTGCATTGCAAAAGAAAATTGAATGTTTTTTTAACAGAGATGATGTTAGCCGCACCACTGCAGGCAAAAAAGAATACAGAACCTTCAAAAAAGTTACACGCCAAAAGAGATATTTGCTAGACAAACTAATCGTACTTCATAGAAAGTTTATCGCAGAAGAGGTCCAAATAAGTTTCAGTACTTTCAAAAAGTACCGCCCGTTTTACGTACTTTCTCCGAAAATCAAGGATTGTGAGAGTTGCGAGTGCAAAAAACATTCTAATATGCAATTTCTGGTTGATGAACTGAAATCCCTTAACATACTTAAAACTGACAATCTGAATGAGGTAACAACAGATTTAGTATGTGATTTTTACTCAAAAGATTGCATGTATAATAATTGTAATACGTGTTCAGAAATTAAATTAAAAGTTGATAACGAAGAACTGTCGGCTAAAGTAAGCTGGTTTACTTGGATTTTAAAAGACCACGAATATGAAAAGGAAGGAGAAAAGAAGAAAATTAAAAAGATAATAAAAATTAAGAAAGAGGGTACTTTACAAGACTTACTTGAGATATTTAGTGCGGAAATGAAACAATTTAAAACACATATTTTTAATTTTTATCACCAATATAAAAAATACAAAGATTGCATTAATAATTTAAAAAGTGATGAAGCATGTATCCATATAGATTTCTCTGAAAATTTCACCTGCAAATACCATAAAGAAATACAGGCAATGCATTTCATAAAAGAACAGATTACCCTTCATACGGGAGTTATTTACATTAAAGGAGAGAATAAACCTATTTCTTTCTGTTCTATATCCGCCGATAGCCAACACAATCCAGAGGCAATATGGGCCCACCTCGATCCTGTTTTACAATACATAAAGAGTAACTATCCAAACATCTTTAACATTCACTTTTTCTCTGATGGCCCAACGACCCAGTATAGACAGAAAAAAAACTTTTACTTATTCAGTGAAAAAGTCTATGAATATGGGTTTAGTTATTATACTTGGTCGTTTTTTGAGGCAGCTCATGGAAAAGGTGCCCCTGATGGTATCGGAGGGGCCATCAAACGAACTCTAGATGCCAAAATCGCTCAGGGGAAAGACATCCCAAATGCGGAAACAGCATTTGATATTTTGAAATCGGAGGATACAAGTATCAAATTATTTTATATTTCTTCTGTTAACATCAAGCCTTTACACACAAAGCTTAGTCCTTTGCCGCAAACAATGAAAATTCATCAGCTGATAACAATAGAAAAGCTGAAACTCAAATACAGAGATCTCAGTTGTTTCTGTGGGGATCCTAGAGGCAACTGTGAATGTCACTCACCTGTAGCTCATAGCTTTTTGCCCACTATTTACGCAAACGAAAAACCACACATCGAATAAACAAGAAAAATGTGAAAAGAAAAAGGAAGTTAAAAATTCAAAGAATAGCAATAAAACTAGGCGAAGGCGTTTCAGTTCATCAACCGAAGAAGACGAATATGATGATAGTATTGAGTATGCGGAAAGCGACGCCTCGGCGTTTTTTTCTGATGAGTCAATAAGTCCAGATTTTAACGACGATGAAAACAATATAATCACAGAACTTGACGAAAAAACAGGTGTTCTGAGACCAAAAATTAATCCAAACAAGAAAGTCACTCTGTTATCCACAATAATTTTAAAGAAACCTAATGCTGAATATAATCCTAAACATGAAAGGAAAAGAAAAATAATTTGTGAAAATGAATATTTAATCCATAAAAGATTTTGCGAAACTACGAAACATGTTACTGGGAAAGATGATGTGACAATTTTGTCACAAATAAGAAAAAACCCGGAAAATACTGCGAGTTATGATTTAAGAGAGAGTTATTTATTTGGAAAAGAAGACCCGATAAAGGAAATAAGAAGTAACAAAATGATACCAAAGAAGAGATCAAAAAGAATTTGAAAGAAAAGTTTCTAATAGAAGAGAAGCACAAAATTGAGATTGAATGTACTAAGAAAGATGAAAGCAAGGAAATCCTAATTGTTATCGCAGAAGAAGAGAGAAAAGAAGCTGATGAAAACAAAGAAAATTATACAATTGAGACTGAATATAAAAAACAACTTGAAAGCATGAGAGGACAAAATAATAATGGTGAAGTTTTACAAGACGCAGATAAATATAAACAAATGGAGAAAACAGATTTAGATAAAATAAACAAGAGAGAGAGTGAGAATTTAAAAGAAGATGAAAGTGACAAGGAATCGAATAAAAAGGAAGAAGGAAAAAAAGCAATTGAGAGTGAAGAAAATACGCAGAACTTTATTTTAAATATAAATGATAGCATTATAGTTCGATATTTCCAAAGGAAAACGTGGAAATATTTTATAGGATTTGTTGAGAATATAGAATTTAAGAACGGAGAAAATTATTATAAAGTAAAATTTTTGAAAACTGTGAAGGATTTATCTAATTCCGTGAAGTTTGTAGTCCAAAGAAAATCAGATATTGATATAGTGACCAATATTTCTATCGTCAAAAAGGTAAATTTGATTCAACGGGAGAAAGCCTCTAAAGAATATTACCTGAGTACCGATATTGATTTGGTTTATTTTATTTGTTGAATATTTATTTATAAGGTGTAAGAAAGGTTTTGTATTGCAATGACCTCTTATGTACAGACGCCAGCACATTAGCCCACTCCAATCTGTCAAATTTCTTTAATAGATTTTCAACTTTACCACAAAAGTAGACGGTTCATTTTCGATTGAGAAAATTTGACAGATTGGGGTAGGTTGATGTTCTGGCGTCTGTACCTAGGTTAAAGAGAATTATGTAGTTTTTGTTTTTACTTTTTTATGTTATTTCATTTGGCTACGAGATTTTTTTTAATTTTAAATTTGTTGTAATTACCTACTCGTATTTCTAAAGTATTTTTAACTACAGATTCTAAGAAACATTTCGTGTCAATTTTATAAGAAAATAAATACCAATATATAATAACCAATATTAGTTAGTTTCCTAGAAATGTACCTACTATTTTATTTAAGAAGATAACCCGTGTGATAATTGTAAAAACTTTTAGAGAAAGATTATATTGTTCTAATTTTGTGATTTCACGAAACACTATTGATCTCATTGTGTAGCTTATTTTATAGGTTTAAATCATATTATAATGAATGTTATTTCGTTTTTTTTTGTTTTCGTTAGAAGAGTTTTTGAGAAACTCTATCCATGACATTAAATATTTTTGTTACCTCACTTATATCGTAGTATTATTTTTTGATATTTGGTAAACTTGGTCAGATTTCATGGTTGTATAATAACTCTAAGCTGTTGAACTTCTCACAGTTGGCGAATTGTACAGTTAGCTTATGCGTCGAAACCTCCTCCTTTTTGAAGTCGGTTAAAAATAGCGCGTTATGCAATCGGCCTTACAAACATTACACGTTACTTTCGCGTTACTTCTATGTTACCGTAACATAAAAGTGTCTATGTTACTCTATGTTACTAAGTGGCAAAATCTACGGCCTTACCCAGCCATAGTTGCCGCGCCTGGTTTGTAACCATAGCTTTTTGTTGTCTAGTTGTTACTTGCAAGACGCTACTGCCCGTCTACTGATTTGTTTCCCTCTGTCACGTCTTACAACACTCACGGGATGGTACGGTGTAAGTGGTAGATATTCTTACAACGCAATTACAGGGTAAATTTAAATTTAAATTTACAGATGAATCAATTTTTTAGCTTGAAATGGATACAGAATACTGCGCAGAATATTCCGTTCCTAAATTAAATCCTGATTGATTTGTTTGGATCGCGCATACGCGAACCGTGTGCATAAAAACGATCGTAAATTGATAATTGTTATCAGATTATAAAAGTACGTTATGTAAAATGTTGGATATTGAGAGGAAATTGAAATATCTCCGACTTAACCAAGCGAGAAAGATTTTAAAATTATTCTGTTTTAATTTTACGTATAATATGAAGTTTAACATAAAATTACAGCCTATATACGTCCCTCTGCTCTATGCTTTGGCCCATAGACATCTACATTTATCCCCGATTAAGAATCAAAATACAGACGGACCCTTGAGGACTCAGATGGAATTCCTTGATCCAGTTACAAGGATCTCTCCGGTTATCTGCACTCATCATACGAAACACAGCAGCATTTAACTGCTATTTTACGCTGGTATTTTGTGAGCGTGATCCTACAACCATAATGCAGCCGCAATGCGGCTCAACACATATGATATTTTCTTCTAAATCGACTTAGTTAACTCAAGCTTATTCTGCTTAGCGGTAAATCTGAGTAGATATCAAACTCTTGCTAGTGTTGCTGCCAAATAGCCGTGCGTGCTACTTTGTTACGTTCTGATGGGGATGGAGAGCCCCTGGCATCCCATCTTGGCCCATAGAAGTGATAACGCATCTATAGACTTCTTTGTTTGAAGTTACTTGCGGGTATCTGTGGATTACACTAGTCATGTATCTATCTTATATATAGACCAGAGATACAAAACATCAGCGTAAAATCTTAATGTCGTTGTGTTTCGTATGGTGAGTGTAGAGAACCGGAGACCCTTTTTACTGGAAACGAGGCATTCCATCTTGGTCCTCACGGATGACAACGCATCTGCATTTTGATTCGCGGTCGAGGATAGATGTAGATTTCTACGGGCTACAGCAACCAGTTATCAGGTGGACTGTGTGCTCGTTTGTCACCCTATCCTGTAAAAAAAGAAGGAAGCTCAGTACCACCGTGTGCTTGGGATCCCGTAAGTAATACAAGCATACCACTGTAAGATACAGTCTGCTCATTCTGCGTAAATCATACTAAAGTGTTTATTTATAAAGCTGAAGGTACTTGGGTTTAACTTTAACATCGCAACCTCAATCACCACAGTCCCCCCGATGACCATGGGTGCTGCAAAGCACCCGAAATGGAAGTTAAAATTAAGTAAATTAAACGCGATATAATCAGTTATATTAATTTTATTCAATATCCGTATGTTATCTACATTATGGTTACAATATATTAATGCAAGAAACAACTTACCACGTCCGTACTCATCGGCGGTAATTCAGGTCTCAAATGGGACTCGTGCGATGCCCAGAATCAATTCAATATAGCGTCTGATTGAAACTACGGACCTGACTGCAATTCTCTTTCCGAAATTCGTTACCGAAAACTCTTCCACCTCAATTTTTTATCCGATTCTCTTCAAATTATCCTACTGATGATATAAGTCCATGTCGCCATGTGGCAGCTCGGTGTTACATTGTTTAAACTGAAATTGTTCAAGGAATCGTTATTTCAATAAGGAAAATTTTTGGGATAGCAAAGAATAACACAGAATACCAGCATTATGCTGCTATTTTACGCTGATATTTTGTATCCCTGGTCGAAGTCGAACCGACGCAATCGTGCTGAAACCATAATATAGCAGCTTTAACAAAGATTATTTTGCCGTGCCCTGCATGGTGAATATAATAATACTTACCAAAAAAAGTTATTGTATTTTAATCACACGCGATACTTTAATCAAATATGAAATATTAATATTTAATTAAAGTATCGCGTGTGTAATAACACAACGATGCATGCAATGAAAGTCTTTAGAGTGTTATAAAATCAAGCTTGGTTCCGTGAATAAGTTACACGAGTGTTTCGAATATAATTCATACTAGTAGTCGAAAGTTAAACTGGATTTTGCTGCAGGAATCTAGCAATGAACACACTTTGAGCGCGATTTCAACAACAAAACAAAACTAATGTAATGTTTAAGACATGGCACAAGTTTCAGCTCTGTATTTCATAAATAAAACTTTTTTTGATATATAATTGGGACAGAACTAAGGTTTACAATGGCGGTATAGGTATATATGTCGGATTTCGACGTTCATTAAAGATATTGAAATCAGCAGAACCATGAACTTCGTCGGAGTTCTTGGTTCTGCTATTAAGTATATCCATGACAAATCAATTACATCACAATAAAATAGCAATTCACGTATTATCTATAATAAGAATAGTCTATTGCACACAAATATAATAAAGTTCACAGTAATCACTGATTAAAAGAAATAATAGTACGGTTTACTTATTTAAATTACTCACAGTATTTGCTTTAAGACCTAGCGGCATACAATTTTATGATTTGTGGAGAGCGGGCAAGAGAATGCCCGTTCCAAAGATTTTTCGGTAAAGGTGCACAACGCCAGCACTCCCGCTCCTGCGCGGTCGTAAAAATGCTCGGACCAATGGCGTTGCGCGCAAGCCTTTGGATTTTAGTCAGTTTAACTTCTTTTATTCTAAATCGAAATATAAAAGGTTTATTCTATGAACTCATAGTAAACCTGTAATTACTAATAATTAAAGACAGAATTTCTTAAGATTAGAACACAATTATTGCTAATTATTAAACAATTATTACTCAGTTGAAACTCGAATGCAATAATAATGACAGGTAGTCAAAACAACAACATTTAAAACAATTATTATTGAGCCTTTAAAACAATGCAATTACAATTTCACTAGTAGTTATTTTACATGGACTAATTTCATCACAAATATTACTAGGTTATTACCTAGTAATTTTGTAGAGAGAAATAGATAATTAATGATTAAATGCATTATTATGCATTAAATCATTAATTAAGATTTCATATGAAGACCGAAGCGCGTGCGGCGACATAATATCAGTTATATTAAAAATGTGTCCATGTCTCAGATGAATTAAACCCTCTGAGGTTCATGCACAGATTACCTCCTAATAGATTCCGCATACAGGGCCACAAACGCGCGCAACACATACTTGCTGTAGCTAGCATATGAAGTGACGCTAGGAATCACGATATCATTGTCGACCAAGGTTGTGACCCGTAGGCACCTCCGAGTTTTTGAAAATTTAAAAATAATTTTGGTATCCAAAATACATTACAAATGGCTTCATATGTAATGAAATGGTGTGGCAAGTCAGCTAAGACATCCAGTTATCAAAAAGATGGCATAATATTTCATCGGTAAGTAAATTTTATTCTTATCACGTTAACCTATTTCAAATACACCGGAGTTCAACTTACACTGGATATTAAATGTTGCAAAGTGATATCATTTGAGCACCCGTTGATGTCTTTTTTAATATGTCCCTTTCACTCATTACGTAAATTAAAATAGTTGTCTTTGTCTAACGACAGCACGTGTATCGATAGTGTTGTGATTTATAAGTCGATATTTGTTTGGTCATCGTTTACTTTTCTTTTGTAGTCATTATTTTATACAAATAGTGGCGTATAATTGTGGTACCTATATGTTATAGCTTTCCTAAATGCCTCGAAAGGAAAAGATGTGGATCGACGCTACATGTCGAGGGGACCAACGGTTTCCCACCAAAAATAGTGTGCTATGCTCAAGACATTTCACAGAAGACAATCTTCATATTATGAAAAACCGTAGAGGGCTGTTGGATTCCTCTATACCAACTCTATACTTGCCAGTTTTAGTATGGACTTTTACATTTTTTAAAAAGTATAATTAAAAGTATAAATGGTGAAAATTACACATTAGTGGTTGATTGAACCGTGACATTCTAATATTTAGGCGAATGTTACGAAATTAAACTATTTTTAACGGATTTATAAACCATAAATCAAGTGAAAGTTATAATGTGATTAATGTTATTCTAGTGTTACATGAACTTTAGTAATATCCTATTATTATTACTATTATTATTAAGTACGTCTAAATTTGTAGCACGTACCGTAAGGTTTTTAATTAATAATACTACTTTTAGGTGCAACACTAGGCAAAAATACTGTCACCACCGAAAGGACATACCAGAATACACACAAAGGATTCACACCATTTTGTTAGTGAGATAAAAGACCTACATCGCTGACAATAAAACTATGGTCAGTTTTGTTGTTCAATCACTATTCACATGCCTACGTATTGAAGACTGCTTCTCAATTGTAACTAGGAAGCTACAAGATAACAACATGCCTGCAGAATATGCAGTATTACTCAAACATCGCTTCACATCTGAATATCTGCTGTAAAAGGAAGAGTTCTACAAGCAAGTTGATGGTGTAGCGATGGGCTCACCTGTATTTCCTATAGTCGCCGACTTATATCATGGAGGATTTTGAGATGAAACCCTTCTTACTGCTCCTATAAATCCAAGATTCTACAAACGGTACGTAGACGACACTTTCAAAATTTTACCGTCTGACAAAGCAACTGCAATTTTAGACCACCTTAACTCCATAAGCTTCAAAATACAAATCACGATGAAGTTAGAAGCAAATAATACTTTAGGTTTCCTAGATGTTTTAGTAATCCGAAATCCTATTGGTCATACTATGTATAGGAAAAAGGCCTATACCAACCGATATTTAAATGGTGAATCTCACCATCATTCTTCATAGTTTGCTACTGTGAGTAAATATTTGTTTCAGAGAGCACAAAGGATCTGTGACAGAATATATCTGGCTGCCGAGCTTCAGCATGTCAATCAAGTACTGCAAGACAACAAGTTTTGGGTCCCAAGCCTACGTCACAGCAACCGAGTGAAGCCGGCCACAGTCGGTGGATGGATGCTGCCATCTGCTTGGGATCCTACAATTAACAAAATCTATCCAAAACCAAGCATACCACTGCAAGACTTCAAGATACTGTAAGCTCGTTTTATTTAGATCGGGACCAAAAATCAATAGTGAAGATAGCCGAGCTAACTATGATATTGAGATGTCAAATATTTAAGTTCCCCCCCCCTCCCCGTGACCATAAATTAATTAAA